TTAGTAAGTCACCTAAAGTTTCCCAGCCCAGCCCAGCTGTCTGGCCAACCTCTCCCCCTCCTCCCAACCTTAAAATTAAAGTTTTTCTCTAAATCTATTTGAAATGTTGGGAGGTATGCAACTATCCATAGCCCAGTTTTTTAACAAAGAAATATAAAGAAAGAAGAAACAGATTTGAGTCTTAGGTTAGTGCGTCATACCAGAGCCAAATGAGGATGAACAATTATTTGCTAGTTGTAATTTTATGGCAAGACAGGAGGCTTCATATTTGCTTTACTTTCTTTACTGTAACTCCCAGCAGCAAATAAAGATTTTGGACATTATATTGTCCTTTTCTCTCTGGGTAAACCCGACTGATAAGCTGTGGAACAACCCCACTTATTTACAGGATAATTGTTTTCTGCATTTAACCCCTTCAGGACCGTCATTGGCATTTTTGCATTGCCAACCGGTGACGGTCCTGAACCGTCCTAACGTCCTAACCGTCCAATGTACTTACCCGATCGCCGTCGTTCCCCCGGCGGCGATCGGCGGCGCTCCCGTTGTGGGGAGACTGCCTGCAGCCCAGACAGTCTCCCCATGGCGGATTAGGACCCCTGTGGCCATATGATCGCTCAACAATAGGTGTTCATGTGTCTGCCTGCAGAGGGACTGTCTGTGCTGACAGGCAGTCTCCCTGCTAGTGTAAAATAAAAAAATAAAATAAAAGTTAAGGTTAATAAAAAAATAATAATTATATTATATGTCTATATATCATATATATATAATGTCATACTAAGTGTATTTTTATATTAATATGTGCATATATTAATATAAAAATACACTTATAATTAAATTACACACATATATATATAATATATATAATAACTATATACATTGTATATAAATATTATTATAAAATACAAATAATAAGTAATTTAAATTAAATAAAAACATGTAAAAATAATAATAAAAATTAAAAAAAAATATATATCTATATGATATTTTATTCTAACTGTTTTAATAGTAATATATATATATTTATATCAAAATACACTTAGAATGAAATTGTATATATATCTATGTATATATAAATAAATAAAAATTACATAAATAATTATATGAATATACACGTAGACTTCAAATATATAAATATGCATATATATTTAAATTCTACGTGCATATTTATGTAATATTTTTACATAATTGAGTAATTTTATTGATTGCAATTTGAGGGACCTGCCTGCCAACCCAGGCCAAAAGTCCAGAGAATTTAATTTGCTAGCACTATATTTTACCCTGTAACTTTCTATGACACCCTAAAACCTGTACATGGGGGGTACTGTTTTACTCGGGAGACTTTGCTGAACACAAATATTAGTGATTCACAAACAGTCAGACACACATACACACAGTCAGACACACACACACACACACACACACACAGTCAGTCAGACACACACACACACACAGTCAGACACAAACACACACACAGTCAGACACACACACAGTCAGACACAAACACACACACAGTCAGACACAAACACACACACACAGTCAGACACAAACACACACACACAGTCAGACACAAACACACACACACACGTCAGACACACACACACACACACATACAGTCAGACACACACACACACACACACACAGTCAGACACAAACACAGTCACACACAGTCACACAGACACAAACACACAGTCAGACATACACACAGACACAAACACACACACACAGTCAGACACAAACACATACACAGTCAGACACAAACACACAGTCACACACACAGTCAGACACACACACATACACAGTCAGACACACACACACACACACACACACAATCACTCACATTAACACTTTTTTTTTAATTTACCTTTGGGAGTTCTGGGGGGGGGAGTTCCTCTTTCTCCCTGGTGGTCCAGTGGTTGCCGGTCGGGCTGATGGGCTGGCTACTGGGCGGGCGGCTGGCGAGGGAGCTCTTCCTCTGAGCGGTCTGCTCAACTCCCTCGCGCGCTGCAGAGTGAGGCTGGGAGCCGGGATATGACGTCATATTCCGGCTCCCAACCTCACTCTGCGGCGCGCGAGGGAGCTGAGCAGACCGCTCAGAGGAAGAACTCCCTCGCCAGCCGCCCGCCCAACCATCAGCCAGCGCCGCCCAGCGCCAGGCATGTCTGTAAGCCGCAAGGCTAACAAGGCATTTGCCCTGGGCATTTGGGAGGGGGGCGTTTTTTGACGCCCCCTGAAAAATGCCTTGTTTGCCTCGCGGCTAATACGTCCCTGCACAAACACACACACAGTCAGACACAAACACACACACACAGTCAGACACAAACACACACACACAGTCAGACACACACAGTCAGACACAAACACACACACGCACACAGTCAGACACAAACACACACACAGTCACACACAGTCATTCACAGACACACACACGCACACAGTCACACACACAGTCAGACACAAACACACACACAGTCAGACACAAACACACACAGTCACACACACAGTCAGACACACACACACAATCACTCACATTAACACTTTTTTTTAATTTAACCCCCCCCCCCAGCCTCCTTACCTTTGGGAGTGCTGGGGGGGGTTCCTCTTTCTCCCTGGTGGTCCAGTGGCTGCCGGTCGGGCTGATGGGTTGGCTTCTGGGCGGGCGGCTGGCGAGGGAGCTCTTCCTCTGAGCGGTCTGCTCAGCTCCCTCGCGCGCCGCAGAGTGAGGCTCGGAGCCGGCGCCGCCCAGCGCCAGGCATGTCAGTTAGCCACAAGGCTAACAAGGCATTTGCCCTGGGCATTTGGGGGCGGCGTTTTTAAGTGAAATAAGTGAAATAAAATAGTTTATAACTTCTAAACAATATTTCTCAAAAGAAGTAAATTGGGTTGTTGCAGCCTTGATGCCATTATTTTGTTATGTTAGTATTATTAGTAGCCTTTAGCATTTGGAGTAGCATTCTTAAAAATAATTTTAAAGTAAAACACTACTTGGCATTTTATCAGACATATTAAAAAATAATGGCATTTCTCATTGGTTAGTGCTGTGTTTGTGCCGGTTAAATCTCTGTTCTATCTCATTTCGTTTTTTACTTTTAACAATTTAATCAAAATCACCAAAGGTCATTCAGCCCCCTATAACAGCCAAAACAAATGAAACTTGGCTGGTTGGTTAGTGCTGCATTTGTGTTGTTAACATATTTATTCGTGCTGCTTTGGTTTTCTAGTTAAAACAGTTTGTTTTTTTGTACGGGAAAATTATGTAACCTACCATTTAAACTCAGCTGTGTAAAGTTGGAAACACCCTTTCTAAAATCAAATGTGAATACAACTATACTATTCATTTGTGCTATGTTTGTGCTGCAAAAAAAAATTAACATTTGTGCTGGTTTGTTTTTGGAGATATAAGCTTTAAATATGATCAAACTCCATCCACTTTTCTCAACCACATTATTACATTTAAAAAAAAATATACTATTAGTTTATGCTGTACAAATTAATGTTTTGTCACATTGCCAATTATGCTCACTCCAATAACGGCGTTTTCCCATGAGGTTCATGGGAGCGCTGCCAGTTCGGCCCAGCCTTGCCTCTGCAGTGGCCGCCCCCCCTCATCCCCCCTTTCTCAAAAAACCCCCCCAAAAAACTATATTTTTAAAATGTGTTATATTTTTTACATTTAAAAAAAAAATGTATTGAAAAAATGTGTAAACTTTTTAAAACCCCTGGCCCACTCTACAAAATCCCTGCACCCCCTCACACACAGTTACAGGCAGACAGTCACACACAGTTACAAGCAGTCACACGCACACAGTCACATGCAGACAGTCACACATATAGTCACAGGCAGTCATACACACAGTTACAGGTAGAGAGTTACACACAAACACAGTCAGTTACAAGCAGTTACACAAAGTCATGCACACTGTTACAGGCAGACAGTCACATATACAGTCACACACACGGTCACAGGCAGACAGTCATACACATAGTTACAGCCACAAACACACACAGTTACAGACAGTTACACACACAGTCAGTTACAGGCAGCCACGCACAAAGTTACATGCAGACAGTCACAGGCAGACAGTAACACACAGTTACAGGCAGCATCACACAGTCACAGGCAGACTGTCACACACAGTCACAGACAGTCACACACACACAGTTACAGGCATGCAGTCAAACACATACACACACATAAACACACAGTTACAGGTAGACAGGTACGCACACACAGTTACAGGTAGACAGTTACGTACATACACACAGTTACAGGCAGACAGTTACACACACACACAGTTAAAGGTAGACAGTTACGCACACACACACAGTTACAGGCAGACAGTTACACACACACACACATATTTACAGGCAGACAGTTATACACACACACAAGACAGACAGTCACACACACACACAGTTACAGAAAGACAGTCACACACACACACACACACAGTTTCAGGCAGTTCACACACACACACTCTTATACTTACAGACAGTGTGGGCTGGAGGAGTGGATTCCCTGGCCTGAAGTCCTTCCCTGGCTGGAGGTGGAGGTGCAGGGATTTCTGCTTGCTGCACCTCCATGTGCAGCAGTTACAGCAGCTTGTAAGGGCTGTGTTAAGCCCCGCCCCTGCTTGCGGTTAGGCTCTGCCCCAAAATATCAGTAGCTCCGCCCCCTTGTTCCTCCCTTGCGGCCAGTTCATCTTGCTGGTCTCTCCATGTGAGCTGTGTGACAGCCCAGCTGCCATGGGGCACAGCTCACACAGCCCCCTCCAGCCACACAGCCCCCTCAAGGCACCCTCCTACCAGGTGGCACTTGGGGCGGACCGCCCCTTTCGCCCCCCCGTTAGTCCGCCACTGGTCTATCCAAACACATTTTTGTTCCGGTTTGGTTTTGATGTGGAATCAATCAATTAATTGATTATCTTGCGTATCTGCCCCCGGCCAAATTTAAAAAAATGCGTGCATGCTCCTGAAGTAATTCACACCAGACACAGGTTTCGGGTTAATGAAAAACTTGAGGAATGTTTATTCTGGGGGGACGGCATTACATCATATGCATTGTCAGAGATAACATGGATTAATACATCAATCGTTGGTTAGGTGTTAAGTGGTTCATTTATTGCTCTTCCTACCGGGTGTGATGTCACTGGTATCTTGAAGGTCACCCCCAGATTCCAGCGCCATCTTGTTAATGAGGGTGTTAGTCGATGTCAAATGGAAACTTCCTAGCTGCCATTTTAGGTAAATCACATATAAGGTTGAATAATGCTGATTGTGGTTATGCTGAGTAAATAGGCATTTTATTAATATGAATTGGGTTAATATTTTTGTCCACAACAGATTTTGAAAAATTGAGCATTATATTTGATCAAGCACAGCCTACTTTGCAATCCATATTATTACATTTTTTTTTTTCAATTTGACAATTTTTATTTTGTCGGAAAACAGAGGTTCAGAGGGGTACAGAAAGGAAAAAGGGGGGGATATCAGGGGGGTGCATTCAGATTCCGTTGTCTTTGATATTACAGTTGAGCATGTCACTTAACAGCGTTCGTACAATATTCGTCATTTCTACTTGCTTACAGTGTGTAATACTGATTGTGTTTCCGTTTGATTACATATCGTTTATACATTGAGTAGTGCGGGTTGTTGTACACGGCCCTGTTCGTCTGTTGTGTATGGAGGGTTGTTACTTGTTACCCCTGTATGTGGGTCCTCCTGTGGAGGCGTGCTGAGTGAACTAATCACCTCAATGGAGACACATGTGATATGCCCGTCTGTGTAGACAGAGGCCACCTTTGCGAGAGGGTTGTGGGTTGTTAGGTCACTCTCCTATGGCGGGCTAATTCGATCACCGCTAGCATGCCTGTCTGTTAGTCAATGGTGTGTGGTTCCTTATTATCATTTGCCTTTCCAGGCTATTTGGGGGTGTTCCTCTGGCGTGTACCCCTGAACGATTCCAGGATGGGAAAGGGAGGGTTAAGGCTGGGTGAAATGGGGAGGGGGATAACTGGGGTAACTAATGTGTCATGTGTGGCTGCTGTGAACCACCGAGGTTCTATTATTACTCGGTTGTGTCAGTGTTGGCAGTGCCCTTAGCTGCATCTTGGGGGGTTTTCTTCTCTATGTAAGTGGTCCAAATCTTTTTCGCTGTGGCGCTCCCTTTGCCTATTTTTGTTTGGTTCCACAAGATCACCTCATACTCCAGGGTGGTAGTGACCATTGCTGTCACCTCCGCTGTGGAAGGGATCTGAGGGGTCTTCCAGTGTTTTGCCAGTAAGATGGACACTGAGGTGAGCGTGAGGAACATCAGTTTAGTTATACTATGGGGTATGTTGGCGGGCAAAAGTTTGAGTAAGAATGTTTCAGCGTTGTGTTCGAAGATGCATCCTGTGGCCTCCCTTATTATCTCTGCTATTCTTGACCAGTACTGTTGGACCTGGGTGCATGTCCACCATATGTGTAACATGGTCCCCGTTTGGGTCCGACACCTCCAACATTTGTCGCTCGTGTTAGGGTAGATTCTCTTAAGTCTCGTAGGGACCATGTACCACCTGTATAATAGTTTATGTGAGGCTTCTAGGTGCGAGGCGCACATTGTGAGTCCCCTGTGGTTGGCGTATATGTGGTTCCAGTCGTCTGACGTGAGGGTTTTATCAATATCCTTGTGCCAGTCCTTTTTAAATTGCCATTCTGGATCTGGCTTGTGTGCATTTATGTGCCTATAACACACTGATAATGTTTTTTGGGTGGGTGTGATGTGGAGGCACATTTTTTCGAATGGTGTGAGGTTGGGATCAAATCGGGGTGGTGGCTCGTTGCCTGCAGTGTTGTCTAGAAGTGTTTTCAGTTGCCAATGTGAGAATGTTAGATTGGCTGGAATGTCGTATCTGGTCTGCAGTGTTAAGAACGGGAGTGGGCCTTTTTCGGTGCAGATTTGGTGTAGGTGTGTGATGTTGTGGGCTTGCCATATTCTGTGAGGAAATGTGTTGTTATGGAGTGCAATTGTTTTTAGTGGTGTTGCCATTGACCACGGTCTGGCTGAGCAGAATGCGGCCCTATGGTTATCCCAAATGTTGTATAGTAGTTTTGTGGTGGGTAGGGTGTCCCGAGGGACGCTGCGCAGTGCCTTGGGCATCCACATAGCAGCTGCAAGGTCCGTTTGTCCTCCGCAGCTGGCTTCAAGGGAGATCCACTGGGGGGTGTATGTGGTGGAGTGCATTTGGAGTATGTTGGCGATGTGTGTTGCATGGTAGTATGCCCTGAGGTCAGGGAATCCCAGGCCTCCCTTCTCCGGGTGTCTCATTAATAAAGCTCGAGGGACTCTAGGGTGTTTTCCTCCCCAGCTAAATCTAATCAGGAGCGATTGTAGTCTTTGAATGTACGACTGTTGTATGGGGATTTGTAGGGAGCGGAACATATAGAGGATTTTTGGTAGAATTGTCATTTTGATGGCCGCTATGCGGCCGAGCCATGAGAGGAACTTGTTTTGCCATGATTGTAGCGTTCGCTCCACTTCCTTGAGGAGCTTGATATAGTTGGTGGCGAATAGGCCCGAATGGTGTTTCGTTTACTTAATGCCTAAGAATGTTAAGTAATCGTTCCTCCAGTCATAGCTGAAATTGTGTTTGAAACGTTCCTCCTCCGCTTTGGGCATGTTTATGCACATGGCCTGTGTTTTGGTTAGGTTCAGCTGGTAATATGAGTGGGTACTGTACTCTAGTATTTCTTTGTGGAGGTTGGGGAGTGAAATTGTCGTATTGGTTATTGTGAGGAGTATATCGTCTGCGAAGAGGTTAAGTGTATACTCCCTGTCGCCTATGGTTACCCCTTTTATGTTTTGGTTATTTCTGATGGCTATCGCTAGTGGTTCCAGCGCAAGCACGTATAACAGAGGGGATAGGGGGCAGCCTTGCCTGGTTCCGTTGGTTATTGTAAAGGGGGCAGAGCTGAACCCTGAATTGAGAACTGTGGCCGATGGGGTGCTGTATAAGGCTTTTATCACATTTTGAAAGTCCGGTGGGAATCCGTATTTCGACAGCGCCTCATGCAGAAATTGCCAGTTGAGGCGGTCAAATGCCTTCTCGGCGTCTAGGGAGAGGAGTGTGCTCTGTAGTGTGGAGCGGTTGAGGTATTGAAGTATATCCAGTACTTTCCGGGAGTTGTCTGGGCCTTGTCTGCCCGTCACAAATCCCACTTGGTCTGTCGAGATCAAGCTGGGCAGGAGTGTTTTGAGCCTAGCCGCGTATATTTTAGCATATAGCTTGGCGTCGGCATTAAGCAGGGAGATGGGTCTAAAATTCGGGCAGACCGTCGGTGGTTTACCCGGTTTGGGTAGGGTTATTATATGTGCCGCTAAGAATTCGGGCGGTAGTGTTCCCTGTTGCGTGGCTAGGTTTAGGGCCCGTGTGATGTAGGGGGTTAGTATCTCCTTAAAGGTGGTGTAATACAGAGTGGTGAAGCCATCAGGGCCTGGGGCTTTGCCTTTTGGCATGGTATCAATGGTCTGTGCTACTTCTAGGGTGGTGATGGGGGCCGCAAAGTCGGCTGTTTGGTGTGCTTGGAGTCTGGGCATGTCGATTTTGCCGAGATACTCCAAGATGGTGCTGCGAGTCGGCTGGGGTATTTGCGTGTTGTCTTTTAAGTTATATAGAGAGCTGTAGTAAGTTGCAAATTCATTACAGATTTGTGTGGGTTGGGGCAGTTTCTGTCCCTGGGGAGAGAGTAAGTATGGGATTCTGGTTTGGGCTTGCTTATCTCTCAGTCTTTGGGCCAGAGTTTTGCTGGCTCTGTTGCCCATGACAAAAGTGGACGCTTTGAGCCGCTTCAGTGCGTAGCTTGCTTTTTGGAAGTTGGCAGTGTGGATTTGTGTTTGCAGGTCCGTGATCTCGGCCTGCGTGGCCCTGGAGGGAGTTATTTGGTTTTTTCTGTGTAGGTCTTGTAACCGTTTGAGGTTCTGTACATGTGCGTGTTGTTGCTGTTTTTTAAGATAAGCTGCTCGTCTCATTAGTATGCCCCTGATGACCGGTTTATGGGCCATCCAGAGGGTGAGCGGGGTAATTTCCGAGGTGTCATTGGTATGAAAGTACGTCTGCAAGTCGTGTCGTAGTGATTGGGTGAATTGAGGATCAGTGAGAAGTTGCTCATTGAGCCTCCAAGGGCCCCTGTTCTTGTAGTTGTAGTGGTCCGCTAGTGTAAGTTCCACTGGGTTGTGGTCTGACCAGGCAGAGGTGCCTATCTCACACGCTACTGCTCTGTTCAGATGTGCGCTCTGTAAGAGGAAGCCGTCGATTCTAGAGTAGGTGTTGTGTACCTGGGAGAAGTGTGTGTATTCCCTCCCTGTTGGGTGTAATGTTCGCCATGCGTCGTATAAGCCGTGTGTCTGTAGGAGCTTGGTTAAAGATTTACATTGCCTGTGGAGTACCCTGTTCCTATGGGGTGTATGCTGCGCTGTTGAGTCTAGCGCGGGGTCTTGTATCTGATTAAAATCTCCGCATATGATCGTTGTGCCCGTTTGTATTGTGGTTATGAGCCTCAAGAGGTTGTGTAGGTATCTACCTTGGTTTGCATTTGGCATGTACGTATTGACTATTGTGTATGTAGAGCTATTAATGGTGCAGATCAGTATAATGTATCTCCCTTGTGGGTCTTTTGTGACCGTTATTTCATCAAATGCAAGGTGTCGGCTGATTAGGATGGAGACGCCTTTACGTTTTGTGGGCGCAGTGGCGTGTTATTGATGCGGGTATGTTGCCTTTCCTAGGACTGGGTTAGAGTTGGATTGGAAATGGGTTTCTTGCAGGCAAATTATGTCTGCTTGGGAGGTTTTTAGATCTTTGAGTAGGGTGTGCCTTTTGTGCGGGGTGTTCAGGCCCCTAACGTTGTGTGTGTATATCTTCATACTACGGTATTATGAGTTTGTTATGCTGTTCTGGAGCTCTGTGTGTATCTTGGGGTGCTTGGGTTGTGCAGCTAAAAGAAGGGCTTGCCATGTGGTGTTGGGGTGTAATTCTGACACATTTGATTAAAAAACATACAAACGTAAACCATAACATAATCAATATAAACTTAAAATAACATGTAAACGCCACTATTGGGGCGCATATTATTACATTTTAAAAGAAAATACACCATTTATTTGTGCTGATTAGTGCCGCAAAAATGAACGTCTGTGCTAGTTTAATTTTGTGAATATTGTAATATATATGATCAAATAGCTGGCAATGCTGTGCCTACAGGAAGAATGCCTGTGCTGTCAGGCAGTCCCTCTAATGACTGGGAAAAAAAAACATTAGTAAAACACAGAACATATATCCCTATAGGACATCTTAGTTTTGGAACTAATACAATTTTCTTTTATGGCTTACCTGAGGATTGGTTCATCTGGCCCCTTGGGAGTTCAGCCTCTCTCCCTTGGGAAGTCTCCAGTACACGACAGGGCCGGATTGACATAGGGGCTGATGGAGCTGCAGCTCCAGGCCCATGGAATAGGCCCATTGGTTTAAAAAAAAAATTAAAACATTTTTTTTTAATATATATATATTTTTTTTTTACACACTAATCTTAGGGTTGTTCACCTGGCCAGTATTTATTTGAGGCTGCCTGGCCGGTGCCAATATTGCAGTAATACCGGCAATACAAATTTTTATTACTCTGCAATACGATTACCGACCAGTAGGGGCTGCTGTGTCTGTGGAGAGCGGCAGTGATAGGAAGTTACAGCATATACCTGCATCTCTATACTCACTGATCCACGGGGGAGCAGATACACAGTACAGAGAGTTCAAGCAGCAGCTCCCAGCCTGCAGAGACAGCCTACAGCTCAGGGAAGTGAGGAATGGGGTAAAAGCTGCAGGGAGACATGGGGACACTGAGACACTAGAGGACACTATGAGACATGGAGAAACATGGGTACGCTGAGACACTTGGGGACACTTGGAGACACTGAGACATGGACACTGAGACCTGGACACAAACAGGGACACGGACACACACGGAGACACGGACACACACGGGACACACATGAGGACATGGGGACACATGGGGACACACATGGGGACACAGAGGGACACACATGGGGACACAGAGGGACACACATGGGGACACAGAGGGACACGGACACTCATGGGGACGCTGGGACACATGGGGACACGAGCACACATGGGGGCACACATGGGGACACACACGGGGACACGGGCACACATGGGGACACAGACACTAGGTACACAATGTCCCCATGTGTCTCAGTGCCCCCATGTCTCCCAGCCAGTGTCCCTGGTGTCTGTGTACCCATGTCTCCTAGTGTCCCAGTGTCCCCATGTCTCCCAGTGTCCCCGGGAGACATGGGGACACTGGGAGACATGGGGCACTGAGACACTGTGATACATAGTCTCAGTGTCCCCATGTCTCACAGTGTCTACTAGTGACATGGGGACACTGGGAGACATGAAGACACAGACACCAGGGGATAATGGGTGACATGGGGACACAGGGAGACACTCGGAGCAATCCATCTATACAGCAAAATCAAACTAAGTAGTTTTTTGGTGATTTCACAGATTTTTCTCTGTCACTCCTTGTGATTTACATCATGTGATGTCACACATACATAACTAGTTATGCAAATTAGTAAGGCCTGTATTTTTTCCCAAGAAAGGTGGCAACCCTAACTACTCTTCACATACCCTTGCTTAAGTATGGAAACTTAAGAGGGATATATGGAAACAAAACTTATGTGGACCAGCTGAAATTAAATTAGCTAAGGTAATGCTGATTTTGGTCTCTCTAACACTGACATGTTCCCTTTCTTCTACACTCACTACATCCACCTTTTCTCTGTCTCAGACTGTATACCAGGAGCTTCTGTCTGCTAGTAAGAAGGTAAGGAGACAAGTGGACATGTGAGTGCTAGGGGACAGTCCTTAGAAAGCATGGAGTGAGCGCATCATTAGACGCATTTATGTGAAGCTCAGGATGCTGTTGGCCAGCATGCATGATTGGCAGGCAGCCTGACATGCATACATGCCAGGCTACCCTTCCAATTCTTTGGGCAGACACACCTCCTTTTTGGGCATGATCCGCGTCAGTGGCTCACCTTTTTACACCGCCCATTGACTTCTTGCTTCACTGGACACTGATGTTAGAGGGTATGGATTTACTTGAAAGATGAAAGCACAAATTAGAGAGAGATTAGCATATTTTAAGAGAATCTGAGTTTTTTTATAGCTGCATCCTATTAGTTTCCCTCCCACAACCTCTCCACCATATAAATAATGCTTGAGAGGTATGACTGTTTTAGTGTTTTTGGTCGATAAGATTCTGTACTTAGGCCCCTCATAATTATCAGCACCAGGCCCAGTGGGCTCTTAATCTGGCCCTGGTACATGGCCCTGCACATAGATGACCCACTGGAGAAACCACTTTAGTGACCGGGGGTTCTGAACTTGCAGTGACCCGAGGAGTAGCAAGATGATATGTCACAGCCCTTTACACTGCAGTGACCCAAGGGGTAGCAGTTGGCTGGCAAATATGGACTACTTTTCGTTCGTTTTTTCTTCACGGGCATGTGTGGGGCAATCGAGCCTAATCGCGCATTTGTTTTTTTCCCCGCGAACATGCAAGCGCGAACAGTATCTCGCACCACTATTTACGCATGTGCGAGATCCAGTCCGTGCATGCGAGTTCATTGCAGTTACACAATGACATCAGGCTCATATTTAAAGCCCCAAAACTCAATTTCCTTTGGAATTCATTCCATGGATGGTGATAGCAGAGACTTATTCCTCCTATCTACTTAAACCTCTTATCTCCTTGCAGTTTTATCCAGATTCA